GTCGATATTACTTCAAATAATTTGAATTGGGTTCTTTTTGCAGTATAAAAAACTGCACCTTGCTTGAGTATAATTGTTATATATATATAATTGATAAGCACAAAAAGTTGATAAAACCAAAATTTGTTAAGTGTCGAATGCATCCAATCGACATTTAACAAATTTGGTAAATTATTTATTTGGTTTAATTACTATGAATAGAATACATCTGCTTCAGTTTAACTTAAAAAGAATTAAATACAATATATAAATTCAAAGTAATTTAAAAATAACATTGAATGTCTCGTTACTAGTCTAAAGCCTTGAAAAGGCTGCCATGACATACGCCGAACAAGTATTTCTCGGGAAGTATATTATATCAAATTTAAACCCAGCAGTAACACATCATAGGAAAATATATGCGAAAAAATAAACCATCACGATATCAAACGTTAACCGTTTCACCACCGCGCTTTAGTTGACGTGGAGTGTCTCCAGCGCCAGGAACTTTTCTTTAATATTTTTCATAGTGTTGGCACAACCATTTATCGATAAATGAAACAAAGTTTTAAAAATTATAGATTATTATTTATTTTAATCAACATAACATTCTTCTTATTGGGTATTATCACTAGCTTTAATCAGTCTTAATTCTCATTAATCACATTGCACTTAATCAGCGTTAATTCTCTTTATAAAACTAATCAATATTCAGGAGATCTAATATATTATGTAGCTCCTTCCGACCGTTATATATCAAATTTATTATGTCCATATACACTTGCGATCGAATCTCATATGGGACTATATAAAAAAGTACTCTGTGTATGGGACTGACTCCATTTCAAACAGAGTTTCCACTTACAATTTTGGTTTGTCCCTATTTTTTTTTAGGATTTATCCCTAAAATTCCCTACACCATCTTAAAAATTCTTATTTTCAAGGAGCATATTTTTATTCGAGAAATTAAACAATAATTTATCATTTTGAATATTTATTGTGGCGGCGCTGTTGTCGCGCCACAAGCGAAAAACATCCTCAAGCTTAAATCGCACTAACAAAGTTCCGAAGTTAAAGCAGCATATATAGAATAGCTCCGAACTACCAATCGGAGCGTTGGCCGCTCCCCGGGCAGAACACTTTGCCCGGCGGGAGATCTCCCATTTTTCATCCACCCGCCACATTTATTAATAAATCAACAAAAGACCAATCACCAAAAACCAGATCAGACAGAAGATTTAGAAGCTGAAGCATTACTTTTGTAATATTTTGGTGCACTTATCATGGCACTGTTGGGTTCTAAAATTGAGCAATTGTTTGCTTGCATTCCGAACTTTGTATGAAAGAAGCCGTTCAGAGTTTCGTTAGAAAGTCTATTTCTTTTATCTGTATTTACATTTTTTAGAATACTAAATAATCTTTCTACCTCAGTATTTGAAGATGGAACTGCCAATAAAACTGAAATAACTACTTCAAGATTTTCGTAAATGACATTACCATGATAATCTTTCATGCTTAGAACCTTATTCCAATAAATGTCGGCATGTTTTTTAATTCTTCTTCGCTTTCAACTCCAAAATGCATTAAGTCTATAAGAGCTTGATTTCTCCATTCGTTATCTGCTTTTTGCATGTTCCATTTTGTCGTTAAAAAGTTAAATTTATCAAACACATCTTTCACTAATTGTTTCTACAGATTTCTTGCTCTTTTTGGATCCACATACTTCAATAAGTCTAAAAGATTCTCATTCAAGTCGAACCGCTTTTGGATTTGCAATACTATTTCCACATAAAATTCACGACAACTAGCATAAAATTTGTTCACTTCTTCTATTGGGGCTTTTGTCTTTAAATCTTCAAGTATCGCATGTGCTTCCAAACCAACGTATATATGATCATTATTGAGGTGAATTACTGTTTTAGTGACGTCAATCTGCTTAAGGCTCTTTAGATCCTTAGCTCAGACTCAGGTGCTCCTTTTTAACAAAGTTGCACATAAAAGTATTCAACATTTTCCGAACCATCTCTGGCAGTAGAAGTAATTGTGGTGATTTTGTTTGCAAAAAGGTATTAAAATCGTAAGTTATAGAGAAGACGTAACTCATGAAGTGTAATAATGCTTTATTAAATGGGTTGTTAAGACTGTTCAAGATGGAATCATTAGTATTAGAGGGATCCTCAAAAACTGCAAACGTAAAAAATAATTTCAATGCATCATACTGCTCTAATATGCTATCAACACAAGCTTGAAGTGACAACCATTTTGTATTTGCTGCAGAAAGTAATTTATGTTGGTCAATTTTTAGAAAATCCTGAAACTGTTTCGTGTGATTCTGTTCGCTTAGAGCTCATATGAAAATATGCAGGTATATTACGGCATAAATCTTCTAAATTTTAGGTAGTTTACGGGAGGCATATGATGTCGCGAGATGTATTAAATGACATGAGCACTCTATAACGACCAGGTGTGGAATTTCAGTTTTTAGTAAAGCCTGATCTGAATTATGCTTTCCCATCATTACGTTCGTCGTATCTGATGTAAGTCCGAAGACATGATCAAGAGGTACTTCATGTTTTGAAAAACTTCCTTTTATTGTTTGGAGGATACCTTTTGCCGTTCCATCAATCATATCTATCTGTTACGGCCTACGGCTGCTCCCATAAAGATCAAATCCTCAGGGGCCCATTCAGATGAGTTTCGACGAGCAGACGTAGGTCGGGCTTCCTAAGGCCAAAGTGGAAAATCTCTAGTTACACTAAACAATAAGGGGGAGTGTTGGAATTTCCTATCACTATAAACTATATGGGAGGAAGCTAGAAACACATAGTACTTACCATTATCCGAAGCTAACTTCGCACCAAGGCTTGGGCAGGCCGTGAGTGTGTGTAATAGTGGATGGCGAGTAGTGTACAGTGAGGTGCGAGTGTGTGGGGCCTTGGCAAGCATAGGCGACCAGCAGCGGCTGAGTTCCAGGCTGCTCCAAAATGAGGTAATCTTCCGCGGCGCCGTCCAGTCACTTTCTTCGTTCGTCACGATGACAGTCCATTAACTCTATCGTATTATTAACTAACTTACAGAAGCCACTAAATCTCGGTTGTTATAAAGCTTGACACACAAAAACGAACAGGGAGTGTCCGGATCAAAGGTCACTACCGCTTCGCGTAGCAACAGTTATTTCTAGAATATCAAAGGCCGCACTAGCTAATATTGTCGAATGCACTTATACAGATTCTGAGTCGGACCCAATAAGTCCCGGGAAAGGCTATCCAACAAGGAATGCGCGTTATAAATCCTAGACAGGATATTTACTAGACGCCTAAACTATTCCGCGGTTCCCGCACAAAATTGACAGCGTGCTGACGTTACCACAGCTGGCAGACGATAGCTTTGCACCTTTACGCGTTCTCTACACTTGAACGTCAAACCGGTATGGCACCGAGCCGCGCGCCCTCTGACATCGATTCCGAAACAGCGTTTGGCGTGAACACTATCATATCAAAAAATCTGCATTCCACTTTTTTCTCAAACCATTAAAAAATGTTATTATAACAGCCAACTATTTTTCCACAGACAGATCTGTTGTTTCATCTATTATTATATTAAAATAGCTATTCTTCATGATATCAATCACTTCTTGTTTATATGTCGCACCTGTGACTTGACGTAAAATATTTGTTGCTTTTTGTTTTCCTAGGTACACGTCTTCTAAACATTTCGATTCCAGAAACAAGTTTCGTAACAGCGATACAAAATCATCGACTAAAGAAATTGGTAGATCATGTTTCAAAAGAAAGCCGCACATTTTTTATTTTTTGTATTTTCTTTCTTTATTTTCTGAATTTAAAGTCAAAGAGGATAGTGTTTCATTATCTTCCTCCATTTTAAATTACTTAAAGATTAATCAAAAAAAAAAATCAATATTTTTTTTGTATTCCGAGGCGCAATTCGGAGTGCATTATGTAAATGAAACAAAACTAATCAAATCAAGCAAACCTTGGTAAGGTATACATAATATGACTAATTTCCGACTACATCTAAAACAACGGAAAAGATATTATAAATGACAAATTAAAATTGGACGGATGACATTCATTAATAGTTCGGGGATTCCCCTTTCAAAAATGAACCGCGGACGGTAGCACCATAGTGTACAGGGTTACCATCATAAGTTTTGATTTTTCACCGAATTTCCCTAAATCCCTGTCTTATTAAAATAATCCCTAGTCATGTACAATTTCACTTAGTTTTCCCGAAAATAGGGAAAAATCCCTAAAAGTGGAAACACTGATTTCAAATGCTGTAAAATCTACCAAAATGCTCATTTCGAGGATCTTCTGGTCTTTGATTAAAGAATCTTGAAGCGAGCAAACTTATATAAGCTGTGTAGTCATATTTTTCCGATTTCACATAGCATATGTAATGATTTTCGGTCTGCGTTGATCTACCATTTTTGGTACCATATAGTTGAATTCATAGACAAAATGTTCTTTATCTGTGGTCGAATTGCATATGACTTTGACACACAGTCTTTGACTGCTTTGACAGTGAGTTTTAGCGGGAAATTGACTGGCGTCGGATTCTCTTGTATTATTGCTTAAATAAGTTTGTAGTGGATTTTGGTATATAAAAGTGGTGCGATTTTGTGTAATAAGTGTCTGCGCATGTGAACTATTGGTGAAAACGTTGAAACAAGTGCTACGATGGTGATATGAATGTTTGCTTAGGCACCTTGAACTACTGTAACCAACTGTCTGCTGGCTCAAGTTGCCGTCAAAATCTCCCAAACGCTGCGCAATGTGAAGCATCAACATATTGTGAAGCAATGTACTATAAAGGATTATTATCACTTGGTACTGAGAAAAATAAAATGAAGACATAGCTTAAAGGACAAGCATCGAAGCTAAAAATCGTAACAAAAAAATGGCTTTGACAATTGACAGATAATAATGACAGTGACACTATTGGACACTATAAGGTTAATGACACAGTTTTTAAAAGAAATTATTATCACAAATTTGAAAATGATAAAAACATCTCAATTGATCAATTTTATTTCAAAAAGGGGAATATGTCTCACAACACCACGAGAAGGCAAAAGAAACTTTCGCAAGTTTGTAATAGCTAACAAAAGAGGTTCAAGATTGCACAAACAGCAACAAATGTCTGCTAATCCAGAGCTAGAGGTAGATAAACGTGGAGTTCGTGATGTAGGATACTATTTAAATGGTCGATTCGTCAAAGTTCCTGAGATGGTTCCAGAAATCATAGTACCTGACTTAAAAGATTTTAATTTAAAGCCTTATGTTTCTTACAAAGCTGAAGACGTTATTCAAAGTGAATTCACACCGAAACAGCTCTTTGATGCAATTTATAGCAAAAAAATTGTCACTGATTACAAACAAGGAAAGTTAGATGCAGATGGTCAACCACTTGAACCATCTGAAGAAGAAAAGTTACAACCTGAGGAAGCTATTTCAAGAGCAAAACGAACCGGTTCCGATATATTTTAAATTGTAAATATATATTTATGTATACATAGTTTAGGTGGATAACATACAAAAAAATTAAAAATAGTTTTACTTCCTATATTTTTTTTACCTTAAAAATATGTTATTAACTACCGATGTGCCTCGGCGGCGTCGCCAGGGTGGGAATTAATGTGGCGCAATTTAGATTTAAGATAATTATAAAGACCTTTTTATTTTGCAAAAAAATATCAGTTATTTTGGATATTTTTTAAAATTAAATATATAGCCTAGATTACTCTTTGTGTTCCTCTATATTTGTTCATGAAGTTTCATCACAATCACTTAATTCCAAATCTTAGCCTGGTTAGACAGACAGATGGACAAAAGCTTTAGAAATGGTTATTCATATCTTTATTGCAAGCAATTGACTCCTCGTGCTTTTTAAAAGTCAGTCAGTTATTATGATATTCACTGACTGACACTTCAATTTATTTTATAGTATGTTATACTTATAAGAGATTGCAGAAGATTTTCAGTGAACAATATTAAGAACATAGTATAAATATTATGTGTACATATAAAAATTAATTGCTGTCCATTAGCCTAGCTAAAACTTGAAAGATTTTGATGAAATTATTTGAATGGTTCCCTAGATGGTTTACATTTACAATCTGACCCTGTAGGTGGTGCTGTTGTCGAGATCCAGAAATCACCTGTGCGAAGTTGAGGTGGCTCACAGCAAATAACTAATAAGATATGAATATTTTTTTTTTTTATAGGAGAGGGGGCAAACGAGCATGCGGCTCACCTGATGGTAAGTGACTACCGCCGCCCATGAACAACCGCAGCACCAGGGGAATTGCAGATGCGTTGCCGGCCTTTTAAAAAGGAGTAGGCTCTTTTCTTGAAGGTCCCTAAGTCGTATCGGTCCGGAAAAATCGCTGGTGGTAAACTATTCCACAAGGAAGTTGTGCGAGGAAGAAAACATCTTCTAAATCGCACAGTGGTGGACCGCCAATCATCCAGATGGTGTGGATGGTATCGGGAGTTCTGCCGCGATGTGCGTTCGTGAAATTTGGCGGCTGGGATTAATCCGAACAATTCCTCAGAGCACTCCCCATGGTAAATGCGAAAGAAAATGCTAAGAGATGCAACATCTCTTCGCAGTGCCAATGAGTCGAGCCGATCGGAAAGGACTCGGTCGTCGACGATTCGAGCCGCTCTGCGCTGGATGCGGTCAAGTGGAAGAAGCTGGCACTGGGGAGCCCCAGCCCAGAGATGGGAACAGTATTCCATGTGAGGCCGAACCTGCGCCTTGTAAAGTTGCAGGCGTTGAGCCGGCATGAAATACTGTCCCGCTCTGCTGAGCACGCCAAGCTTTTTAGAGGCCAATTTGGCCTTTTCTTCCAAGTGACCACGAAACTGCACGCTACTCGATATGTCGACGCCAAGGATTCCGATACTGGCTGAGGCAACAAGGGGAGTACCTTGAAACTGAGGAGATACGACAAAGGGGTTCTTTTTAGCGGTAAACGCGCAAACTTGTGTCTTCTGAGGATTAAACTGGACTAGATTTAGTCGCCCCCAATCCGAGACTTTGTCCAGCAAAGACTCGACTTCAGACACAAGTTTGTTCCGGTACTCGGTGACGTTTTCCCGAGAAATATTGGCACGGCCGGTGTAGAGAGCATCACCAGTGCTGTCATCCGCATAGCAATGAATGCTACCGGCTTGCAACATATCATTGATATGCAGAAGAAACAGCGTTGGTGATAGCACGCAGCCTATTGGTATTAGTATTTTTTACAGGCTAGTAATTTATGTAATTTTCTTTTAAACAATTAAATCTTTTGAATTATTAAATCAGTATCATTCTGATACAGCCTATTAAAGTCCAAAGCTCAGAATAGGGCTCTCCCATAGATTGCTTCATAGGGGGAATATTTGGCATAGTTGCCATGCTTAACAAGCAAGTTGGCAACTGCAGTTTTTTATTTTTAGTTGTTACGAGGAAAATGCTGCTGCCCATCTCCTGATTTTCTTTCCTCTGTTGCCTCATTATACAACAGCGAAATGTTGTGGGGTAGTGGATATTCTTACACCACCACTACACGGTACCTACTACACAGTATCATGAAATAAAAGTTAGTTGGACAAAAAACTAATAAGTAATAATAAAAAAATGGAAGTGCTCCTGGTTAACTATGACATCAGGATCAAAATTTTGTGTACTAAATGTCTGTGCATGTGAACTATTAGTAGAAAAGGTGAAACAAGTGCTCCAGTGGTGAATGTCAACATAAGGTGTCTGTCCGCTTAGGCGCCTTAAGCTACTATAGCCAACTGTCTGTAGGCTTAAGTTGCCATCAAAATCTCCCTAGAGCTGTGCAATGTGAAGCAGTGTACTATAAAGGATGTTGGATACCTCATTGTCCCATCCCCTCCTAAAACCATGATACCTGCAAAGCGCCCACATTGCTGAAAACCCACATTGATTTATTTTTGAAACCTAATCAACTAATTTTTATTTTAAATAAGTGAAATATGAGCTAACAGTCCATGTAATGTTAAGTGATTACTGATTATGGACATTGCCAAACAGAAACTACAAATCTTTTACGGCTTTTAATTATATTGGCATATATTCTTCATACTGTAACGCAACACAACAGTGCATTCCAGCTTGATGGCAGAAATAGGTAATGATGGTAATAAACCAAGTCAGACTCCAAAGGCAGAAAAGAAGCTAACGCACATAGTGAAAAACATATATAAACCAAAACGCCATTACATTCCTGTCATCACTCAGCTCTTTCCTTCAACATTCCGAAAGGGTAATGTTTCAGAAATTGTTTTACCACACTACTTATATAAGGGTTGATGAACTTCACAATTAAACCTCGAGATATTTTTCATTTCGTTAGCATGGAAGTTTCTTTCCACCAAAATCTAAGCACTAAACTATAACTCAGATTGTTTGTATACTAAAACATTTAAGATTTTAATCTTGCCCCTTGATACCAGACCATGAAAAGATAAGATATAGCAAAATAAATAGTACCTACTCATATTCTACCGATCAGCATATCCAAAGTAATAATATCCACAATGGAACAACATAGCAAATTAATATATTTTGCAAATTTTGTTTATTACTTAAGTCTGCTTTTGTGTACTTATTATAATTAAAATGTTGAGAAATAATTAGATGGCATAAGTTATTGATCAATCAGTTTATCTAGCTTTTGACTTGTAGGTGCAAATTAAATCCCAGGATACTGAGTACAATTTTTTGTAACAATCCATTGTGATTGTTCCCTGCATGTACCTACCTACGTAAATTGCTGCCGTGCCGTGTTCAAAGTCGGTCTGAAAGAATTAATTAAGTATAAATAATAAGAGTTCTAAAACTGCACTGAAATTATTCTTTCTAAAGACCTATGTATATATTCTAATAATTACCAACGTCTTGATTCGATAACAGAGGCCTCTATTAGGTATCTAAATAAAAAATATTTTTAATAAATACGTAAGACGGTACTGCAATGGCTTATGACCCTAATTTATCTTAAAGTTATAAGTTTGTGAAATAATAACTTGTAGGTAGGTACCTAATCATTTAAACGGTAGTTATCAATACGCTCGGTTGTCTGGCGCGTACACATAATTCAAACCAAATATTAAAATCCAATTCCAATCTAACCGTTAACATAACCACATAAATACATACATAATGGGTGGTCACAATTCAAAGACTATAATAAGTAACTATTCCGCCATGGATCCGATGGACGTGCCAGTCCCAGACTTAGATAAATTATTTGAACGAGATGGGTATTTAAAGCCCTATGAACGGGAAATTCGTCGTCGGTAAGTGTTTTTATGTATTTAATACGAGTAATAATTTAAAACACTAATTATTTCCCGAAATATCGAAAACGCAAATGATACTTTACAAAAATATTAGGTTTATAGGTTATATCGCTAATGTTTACAAGTTTCCAAAATCAAGCGCTGTAGCGCTTTAATGGATTGTTGTAGGATAGTACGCGTCCTATATAACAAAATATTAGTGTTATTGACATGATTTAGAAAAAATTACAGGATATAACATATATTTAGAATATTATCAGGACATTTATATTTTATTGCTCACAATAATAGCACATTTTATCTAAATTAAAGCCATGTAAACATTTGACATTTAAAGCACTTTAGCTGCTATCTTGAAACTTTCAATGTCAAACGAAAGGTCGTTCTTGATTCGTTTTGATAAAAGCTTTATTTTCCACAACGTTTTTAAATAATAGTTAAAATTATTTATTTAGAGTTTAGTCAAACACAAAGCATATTATTTGAAATCACCTGTAGAAATAAATTCAATAATAAAATTTTACTTAGATAATCAGGGTCCATATAAATTTTTACATTTATGTAGGTACAATTACAATAGAGTACCCAAACTAATAAAATATTAAGTACGAATTAGTATTTTTTAAGTTCGTGATTACAATAAGTAACGAATTAGTTAAAATGCTTGCGTTAAATTTGTTAAAAGATAAATTTAATTATAAAAATTGCAGGTAAAGATTAAAGAATAATATAGACGTTTTATTACAACGCCTCAATATTATTACCTGCCATTATTTATCATTTTATCACCGATACTTTCACTAGATTTTCTTTATTTACAACTTACTTACCTACATTAGGTACCTACCTAAATATCTCAACCGACCAACCTTTGCCTCCAACCAGCCACGTACAATAAAAAAAAACACTGGTAACGACGAAAAAACTTCCGCTATCAGTATAAATACGCATGGGGTATAAGTACTATAATATATTCTACTACTTAATACGTTTCACAGGCATTTCATAATGCTATGTTAGTCCCTACTTTAATGTATGGTACTGTACTGAAAGTGGGATGTAGCAGATGTAGTATTAGAGTAAAATTATAATGCTGAAGAAATGCGGTCATTAAGAAGTAAGAAGTTGGTAGCTATAGGTATCAGACGTGACTGAAAGAAAGGATGAAA